TGGAGAGAGTCCAGCGCAGGGCTACGAGGATGATCAGGGGCCTGGAACATCTGCCCTATGAGGAGAGACTGAGGGAGCTGGGCCTGTTCAGCTGGAGAAGAGAAGGCTGAGAGGGGACCTGAGCAGTGTCTAGAAGTACCTCAAGGGAGGCAGTGAGGAGGATGGTGCTGGCCTCTTTTCACTGTTGGCCACCGACAGAACTAGAGGAAACGGCCACAAACTGAAGCACCAAAAGTTCCACAGGAACTTAAGGAAAAATTTCTTGCCAGTGAGGGTGCCAGAGCACTGGAACAGGCTGCCCAGAGAGGTTGTGGAGTCTCCTTCTCTGGAGATCTTCAAACCCGCTTGGACGCAGTCCTGTGCCACGTGCTCTAGGTGACCCTGTGTGTGCAGGGGGTTGGACTAGATGACCTCGAGAGGTCCCTTCCAACCTTAAGCATTCTGTGATTCTATGATTCTATGATTCATTTTACCTTCTAAAACACTGGTCACCTCTAGGCTCCCAACAACTTTTGTTACACGTGACATGAAATCGGCTTCAAAGCAGGACTATAAGCAATAGGAGTTATTCTTACACTCACCTTTACACTTGCCTTCTGCAAGCTTATTCTCGACTGAAAAAGACTAAGTTTGGACCTGAAATACAAATTAACAGAGAGGTTGTGAGGATAAACAGCCCACTGCATTTCACTTCTGCAAAATTTAACTGAGGCAACTTTTTAGGCCAAAAAATGGTCTTTTTAGGTCAAAATGGACCAAGTGCTGCAAATGTGACCTGCTGGCATTCCATGGAACACCAGGAATTCTGTTCCAGAAAACTGGAGGAGTCCCTAGATCCTCTAAAAAGATCTGTGAATGTTTTAAAAAGCAGAATTGGCCTCATTTTCATATCTGGACTAAGGAAAGAGAAATTAGATAACCTCTCTAATAGCTATTTGAAAGATGGTGGTTTAAAAAGGATGTAAGAAAACAAAATTAACAAAAACTTCTTTATAATTTGGCAATTTATAAAAAAGAGAATAAAAAGCCTTAGCAATACAGAAAATAGAAGTAATGATTTTGTCCTGACTTTATCAGATTCCTCTAAAAGGAATTAAGTTTCTTTCTTTGGAGCCAAAGACGGTACTTGATAATTGGAAGTATTTCCATGCTTTATGTATGATAATCCAACACCTGGATTGTCAAACTGAGCAAAACAAGCAAAAAAAAATCCACTAATACTGTAAAAAAAAATTCCAAACTAGTATCCAATGGAAAAGAGGAGAAGCTGGAAGATGCAGTGAAGAGCAGGTCTCAAAGGCTGCTGGCTTCCAAAAGTCAGTGAAAAACAGGGATCTGCAGGAAACCACAGCTTGCAGGGACACCCTGTGACCCTGCAGGAATTTCAAGGCTCGGATTCCTCTCCTCTGGCTAGAAGGATTTGTCCTTTCCCTTCTCACAAGATGCTTTTTAATTAATTAATTAATTAATTAATGGGGTGGAGGCACAAATTAACTGATACTTTATGTATTTGCCAAGCAGGAAAAGCTTAAGGCAGAGTGTGTTGCAGAGAGGATGAACACAACCATTTGCCAACACCTACTTTTGACCTGTCTGGGATCGTGGACCATTTCAGGAGGGACTTCTTCCTGGAATTCATGCACATCTTTATTATCTTCTTGATTTTGATGGGTCTATAGTGTATTTTGAATATTCATTGTGCAAAAAATGTCTCCACCATATGACTTTCCCTTAAAAAAAGTCTCGCCACAAATATTTTGGATGCTTTTCAAGAGAGAATAAAAAAAAAAAAAGAAGAATAAAAAGCAAAAGTAGAGAACTGACGTCTAGAATTTGCTGCTTGTATTTCTTCCTAATATAACCACTACTAATAAAGAGGAGGAAGCAGCACAGCAGAAATAGAGCAACTAGATTTATCTGACAATTCCCACACTCAGTGGAAATCTGTGTCCTGGCACCCCGGCCCCCCAAGGTGGATTGAGCCCAAAATTGAGATGTGCAGAGAGAGAAAAAATAAGTGGCCTTGAACATCCGAAGAAGTGCCAGGTCACACATTATCCTTTAAAAAGGCTGAATTAAAGCACTTAGAGTTGCTCGTATTTTTTCTAAAGAAACCATTTTAAATAAATTACACAAGAGGATAAAAGCATGCTTGAAATGCTTACAAAAATGTACATAAACAAAGGGAGAAATTGGCAAAAGCTTATTCAGAGCCATTACGTTTCTTCTAAAAGAATATCAAGTGTAAAAACTAATACAAATACAAATCTGCTTTATACATGCACCATTATTTATACATATGCTATTATAAAAACATACTTGGCCTCAATATCAGCTTTCTCCCGCACTGCTTGGGCCATCTGTTCAGTCTCAAAATATTTCTTTTTGCCCTTAGCTAAGTCTTTTACTGTCTCTTGTAATTCAGCTTGGATCCTTGTCAACTGGTCCACACACTGAAAAAAAGCATGTAGGAAACAAAACGTTATTTTTTATTATTAAATGTATAGATATATTTGCATCTAACTAATAGGAGCATTATAATTTTACTGCTCAGCATTAAATTTTATATAGAGCAATGTGGTCTCCAAGTGACTGCAGGTCAATTATTCATGTCTTTCTTTTTAAAGGCGAGCAGAACATAAAACCATTTTTGCTCCTTTCAATAGCTCTTTAACTATCCAAAATCAAGGCTAAGTCACAAATTCAATGTAAATGTTCTGAATGCTTTTGGTGAGACCAGGAAGTTGCAAAAACTGGAAAGCAGGAAGGAAAAACCCAAAGGCCAGAAGTGACACCAAAATGTTTCATCTCCCCTTCTCCAGAATTGAAGACGTAAGATAAAATGTACTATGCAAAACAAAACAAGAACAATCTGGTAAATATTAAGCGCTTTTTTTCCCCTAAACTGCATTTTGAGAGCTTTCCAACAAATAGGATTGCATCAGAAATGAGAGTCATTCACAAAGATTCATTCAGGGATTTGCTTTCTTTTACCCCAACTAGTTTAAGCAGACGCAAGAGTAAAATTTTGAAGCATTTATAGGCAATTATATCCCTATTTTGTAGGGGTTATAGGCTGACTGTGGTCAACCACGGCTCCAAGCAATGTTTAGGGGCAGAGCCTAAAGCAAATCTGCCTTTCTGTCCTCCTAGGATCAGGGCCAGGGTCCCACATCCTCTCCTGTATCCCCCAAAAGTTTTATTTGCTCCCTCTTTGCCTGAAACTGCTCCATTTCAATATTAAAAAAAGGCTCAGAAAAATAAATTTGATGCAAAGTTCTCCCGTGCTGGCAAGCTGAGACACTAAAGGCTTGGAGAAAGGCCTGGAAAATTAATCCGACATCTCATCAATAGCAACTTAATCCCTGCTGCAACCCTGGAAGAGCCACTGCTTCCAATAAAAGTTCCTTTTAGTTGGGCAAGTACCAGTATTTGGACACTACAGCTATCCTAGTGTAGGTAAAAACACTTTATGTATTAATTTATGTATTTGCATATTGAAAATTCAATATGGTTTTATCTGGTTGGGGTCCTCGTAATTATTTCTGAGTGGGAAACAAAATAAATAATAAATAAAATAAAAACTTAAGTGTGTTTCAGAGGAAAATTAATGTGAGCAGTGGGTATTTATTCCAAAATGTAGAAGAAACACATGCTCTTAGAATATGCCTTGTCCCAAGTATTGCACTGATAATTGCAATAATTTGTTCTGCTAATGTGCAAGAGAAAAAGAATCCGTGTTATTTTTGGAGACTGAAAATGAAGCCCCCTCTCCCCTTTGACCTGGTGTCCAGAAATTCTTGAAATTGTCAACATTTGGGGAAGGAGAAAACTGGAGATTATTGACCAAACAAAGAACAAAGTTGTTCTTTTTATCAAACAAACCCAGAATGGTCCTTTCTTACATTGTTTACCTTGAATGCACTATGTATTCCTCAGGCTAAATACAAAAAGAAAAGCGATTTTTTTTAATTTAATTATTATTTCGCATTAGCAAATGCTTAATGAAAAGGCCCAGCAGGAACATTTACGAATACGACTATGTTTGGGGTGTTTATACAGCTATTTCTCTCCACACTAGTTTCGTTTCATACGAGCAGCATCATGAGTTTTTCAGAAAACCGGGCTTGAAAACTTCTGAAATTGTCTGCACACACCATGATTTCCTGCAAACTCTCCTTGTTCTTTAACACTGCAAAAGGTGAAGAAAAACAAGCAAGGAAACCACAGAAACCCCAACTACCTTTTTCAACTGCTGTTCCTTAAAGCACCTTACGGTCCTGGCTGGTTCAGAAATCAAGTTTTTGTAGTTCTCGCAGATATTGAGCCGAGATTGGGCCACTTGCATCGTGCCTTCCAGAAGTGATTTCCAAACAGAGTACATGCTCCTACAAAAAAAAAAAAAAAGGAAGAAAGGTTGTGGGAAAAGAGAAAGAAAGGCCACAATCACTACTGGAAATGGGTGATGTTTTATCTAAGAGTGGTATATATTTTTCTAAAGATGGCCCTTAAGAAATCAAACGAAATCCAGATTCATTTATGCTGCTCTCAGGCAATAATTGCCCTTTTATCAAACCTTGATGTTCCACGAAAACTCAAGATTTCCCCTTCTCTCCCCGTTCTGTGATTCAAATTTTTGGCAAACATTTTAGGGTGAAACCTGTGGGTTTTCTTCCCATCCTCCTACATTATTCAAGTCATAAGACGTCGACTTAAGCCTATTGCACAAATCTAGAGGGAACCAAGGCTTCAGTTTTAACTGACAGCACTTGTGCAACACAGAAAAAATAATCCTTTTAAGCGCAGAAGGGAGCTGTTTCGTTGCCGAGTAAATAAATTATACAAATTGAAAGTCTACGGACAGCTATTTCAAGATATCCAACTGTTAAATTACCTGTAATCACTTCGCTCATCCGCTTTTATTCCAAGCCAGTCCTTCTTTAGGTATTGGCTAGCCAGCTTCTGGATGCTCTAGTGAAAGAAAGAGCGGAAAAAAAAAAACCATTAAAAAATGAGAGGTGCCTAAAAAAGACATTTTTGCTCTGTTATCAACGGATAACCTGACATATAAAGAAGAAATCCAATACAGTTTTAAGGAGCTGCTGCAATATGGGTATTTTGGCATTCCATAGGCGTTCTTAAACTTTGGGCTGAATGTAACTTTTTTCCCCCTTTTTTCCTTTTTTTTTTGCATAAGATGCTTCTTGTTCTTGGCTCAATGACCCTTTCTGTTTTGCTGGGCTGGAACAAAGACCGTCCCTGTGAGCTCCAGGCAGGGAGGCAACTGCTTGTTTAACCCCGGCCTGCGCCGCGCCGTGAGGCGAGGAGCAGCTCCAGGCCGTCGGGGGCAGCTCCCACTTACTTTTATTATAAATATGAACCCCCACAGCTCCCCAAAGCCACCTCGGCCACTTGGTTGGAGCCTAAAGCTCTATCTGCTGAGATTTGCTACAGTTTGGCAGCATAAAAAGAGCGCAAGATCTTTATTTGCAAGAATCCCAAGACGCTGACAACGGCCGGGGCCTGCTGGTGGCAGAGAGCAAGGTAGAGGCCATCTGATGTAACATCAAGTTTTAGAAAGTCTCAAGAGGACAATTTGAGTGTATTTTTTCCAATATTAAGATCTCACCTCCCTCTGAAGCAGCATTTTGCATCAATTCAATCATTTCCCTTTTTCTTTGCAGCAGAAACCACCAGCTTTTTATGTATTTATTTACCTTACAAATAAATCTACCTCTTGCTCATGTTTTCTCCTCTATCCCATGTTTTCTTCCCCGCCAGGTAAGCAGGGTGATTTGCTTGCCTGGTCCTCAAGATCAAGGTTTTCTAACATGGGAAAAGCTGCATGTTGACTAGTGTCAGAAAATGGGGAAAATCCCATTTTTGCCTCCCTGATAGTGAAACTGGATGACAAGGAAGAGAAACTGCTATATGGAAAGAATCCTTCAAAAAAGCACACATATATATCTGCATTTATCCTGTTCCATATAGGCATATGTGTTTATCCCATTCCATATAGATCTACGTATTTATCCCATATAACCTGCTCCAGCCTCCAGTTTATTAATGATAACACTGACCACTATCAGATTAAGGAAAAACCCTACAAAATCTCCATTCATTTTAACACAGACCTGCCTGATAGCTCCACTTTGAGCCTCTTTTTCCAGACGTTTTGCATCCAGAAAAAGGTAGTTTTATCCAGAACTGCGTTTCCCTAATGTGTGCTTTAAAGCACTGCATGAAAGCATCAATATTTTCCCTAGATTGAAGGCTTCTAGAGCCTTCTCTCCATACAGACCTGTTACCTGCAACAGCAAAAAGATAAAGCAAAAATAAAAATTACGTCAAACCGGTGCTAAGCTGTTTGGTTTCACCCTTCTATTTGTTGCTTTTCCAGGAAATTTAATTTTAATTAACTCAAACCAAATGTAATTTCTTAACTCTTTCTCCCGCGGTGCTTCGGTTCCTTTCTCACCTTTTCACATTTCCCCCTTCGCTCAAGGGTTTTCCAAGCTGGTCGGTTGTTCAGGGATTGAGGATAGGAAATTATTTGAGGGGAAATTCTCCCAAATTGCGTTGTCTGCACCTAGAGCCCATTCAGACCCATTTGATTTACCACAATATCCACTAATCTGCTCTAATCCCACTCTTGCATCAGGCCAAAACCGCAACGGAGAGACGTCAACGCAGGGGTCAACAGAAGCTCCCCAGAACACTCTTCTTCATTGGGAAAATAATAAATACTAGAAGTTTTTCTGCACTTTTAGATTATTTGCCTAAATTTTCAGTCATAACAGTGGATTTTATTAGGTAAAATTGGTTATTTTCTCTCCACACTGTCCCATGTTCCAGGGTCTTCCTCATGTAGGACGTGTAGAGACAGCGGGTTTTAGCTCCACAACTTACCGACTCTAACTCAGTCTATTTTCCTATGTAAGATTAAGTTGTAGAAAGATGCAAAAGGGCAGTGGAAATGGAAAAGCACAGGCAGGAAAACCCTGAAAATATGATGGTAAAACGACATATCGGACTGTTCATCCACAGAGATAGGTTAAATCAAGCCAGACCCGTTGCATCCATTCGCAGGGATGCAACAGAGAGGGTTTGAAGAAAAATGTTTGAAAATACATGAGACATCAAGAGTAAGATCCACTCGGGAAGGGGCAATTGTGGAAAATTCCACGGTCGTTTTTGTTACTTCTCTTTCTTAATCACAAGGTTATAAAACACACGCAGCTGGATCGTGGGGCGATCAAATGGAGCGCCCGGGAAGAATAAAATAAATGGAAAATTCAGATTACACCTGGCTTTAAAAGCCTACAAATAGTAGGGCAGAAAGATTAAAATAGTCTAAAAAACCCCCTGTCGTCACTGTTTTAAGGTGTAGAGACAGCGGGTTTTAGCTCCACAACTTACCGACTCTAACTCAGTCTATTTTCCTATGTAAGATTAAGTTGTAGAAAGATGCAAAAGGGCAGTGGAAATGGAAAAGCACAGGCAGGAAAACCCTGAAAATATGATGGTAAAACGACATATCGGACTGTTCATCCACAGAGATAGGTTAAATCAAGCCAGACCCGTTGCATCCATTCGCAGGGATGCAACAGAGAGGGTTTGAAGAAAAATGTTTGAAAATACATGAGACATCAAGAGTAAGATCCACTCGGGAAGGGGCAATTGTGGAAAATTCCACGGTCGTTTTTGTTACTTCTCTTTCTTAATCACAAGGTTATAAAACACATGCAGCCGGATCGTGGGGCGATCAAATGGAGTGCCCGGGAAGAAGAAAATAAATGGAAAATTCAAATTACGCCTGTCTTTAAAAGCCTGCAAATAGTAGTGCAGAAGATTAAAATAGTCTAAAAAATCCCATGTCATCACTGTTTTAAGTCTACTGATGAGGTCCGATATTATGAACTAAGTTTAAGAATTGAAAGAAAATAGATAAATGCAGGGAACGAATACAATTAAAACTGGAGTTTATGAGACTCGGGACAGCAGACCGAGGGTGATACCATCAGTTAAAATTAAACATTGCTATTATTATTATCACTAAAAAAGCCACAGATGAAAGAAACATGCAGCAATATGCACAAACTGATACACTTATTTAAAAATACAGAGATTAACATATAAAAGGAAGGGGGACAGAAGTTCAGCACCATGTTTCAGGCAAAATATATATTAGGAATTGCCCTTGAAAGCATTTCTAATTCAGCAGCCACATTTGGGATAATTTAATACTGTGGGAGAGCCAGGAACATCCAGTGCTGCATGGAGAGAAGGGAGCAAGGAAGCAAATGTGGGGATTTAGTCAGCTCCACGGGAGGGATTAAAAGAAATGTGGATAACCCCAAGATCCCAGAGATATTTCTGTAAAAACAGGAGAGTTTAACTCTGCCGAGTGGGTTCACACACTTTAATGGAAAAGGTGCCCCTTGCCAGCAGGAAGTGCTCATCCAAATAAATAAATTGGGGTATCAGAATAAATAAATGGGAATTATTTACTATTTGGCACGCAAGAAGATGGGCTTGCCAACTTGTATCCTAATGCGAATTGTCTCATTTGAGATCTTTGCTAAAATACCCCACGTGCAAACGCTGCGTAATTTTTATTTGTTCTCTTTAAGGTTACTTTGAACCAGCTCGAAAGCAGGGCAGGATTAGGGGTGTTTCAGCTAGAAAGGCAGGAAAGCCACTTGTGAGAAGGCGTTTTTGGAACACTCAGCCTGGGAAATAGGAGTATTTTGCCAAAGCAATCTCCAAAGGTAAGGAAAGGCAAGTCCAAAATTATTAGAGCTGATAATCACTGAATCCAAATGTTCATATATAATCAAAATGCTTTAAAAGGGCTTTTCCCCTCCCTGTAATAAGTAAACTGCAAAACGTCACTTCTTTCCATTCTTAATCTGCAGAGGAATACATTTTACAGTCATTTTAGTCCAAAATAAATGAGTTTTGATTTATTTTATTCTCTGCAGTGCAGTTACCAGCATCTCCTGGAGCTGGTTTAATATTAGTCGGGGTTTGGGGTCTTCACAGGTTGCTGTTTCATGTGGGAACTTCCTAATTAAGGGTTCACATGATTACAAAACCCACGTTTTATGGAGCGCAACCTGAGGCTTCTTCTTCCATTCTGCAACAGCTGGCAAAGAAGTATTAAATTTGCTGCAGTTTAATTGTATTTATTGAGCAGTTTATAACAACCTGAGCGTTCGTAGTCCGAAGTTCATCAGTCACTGCAGCATCAACATTAATTTTGTATTTGGTAATTAGCTTCAAGGCTTGTTATGTCTTTACAAGCTGCGATTAAGGTATCTTTTTTTTATTTGGATTTTAGAAATCGGCAAGCGATGCTAGTGAAAATGTGCCCGTTTGTCACAGCAAAATGCTTGGCAGAGAGTCATCAGATGCCATTTCTGCAGAGTTTTCCCTTGGAAAATTGTGTTTTTCTACTCCAGGTTCCTTGTTGTTAGACTTCCTTTGGGTTTGGGGAGCACCACACACGTTATCTTTGGAAAAGACTATCCTGATGAAGAAGGCAGCAACGTTATAATGAAATTCAGATATTAAATTCAGACACTTATCTACTTTCCATGATAAACCTCAATGTCGTGTCACAAGGCCAACTCGATTGACTTCAGTGGTCAAAAGGCAATCGTCTCCAGGATGATGGACTCTCTCCATCAATCCTCAGTACAGACCAGTAGAAGAATTAATTAAACTCTGGATGCTACAAGAGGTTGGTTCAAGGAGTAAATTTGAAGGGTGATGTGCCAGTTTTGCTTGGATTTTTAATGAATACCTATAGACTAAAAGGATGTTTGCAGATGTTGAGTACAAGGCAAAAAGAGGCAACGCTCTGCAAGCTTCTGAAGAAATGAAGATTCACCTTAGCTGGCTTCTGTGGAAATCTAAACAAAATGCACGTAGGCTTATGTGTGCAAATATGTCTTGGTGCCCCTGAT